TGATTTGTGCTTTTCGTACATCATGTGCAAAATTCTCTGTCCCGTAGTGATGAAGATATTTGAAACTATGCAAATTTCACTTTGTAAATTTGAGGTTTTAAAAAATGTTTTATTATTTTTGTTTCATGTGTATGAGTGTATTGTCGGCGTGTATGTAAGTACACCCCTGTCGTGCAATGCCTGCGGAGGTCAGAAGAGGGTGTTGGAGCCCCTGGAACTGGAGTTGTGGACAGTTGCTAGCTGCCATGTGGATGCTGGGAATCAAACCTGGGTCCTTGCAAGAGCAGCCAGTGCTGTTACCTACTGAGCCATCTCTCCAGCCTCATATATTTAGGTTTTTAACTTATTAAATACTTGTAAAAATGGTGCATTGTAGGGATCTACTTTTTCTTTATATAGAGTGCCAAGTATCCCAGCATTATTTACTAAATAGGATGCCTTTGATGCATCAATTTGCATTGATTCATTACTTAATTACATGTAGCATTATTTCTAGGCTTTTTATTCTCTTTTATAATGGTATTTGTCAGTCACTGCACCATCTTAAGAATTCTTTTGATTATTACATTCTTAAATTTTTCACATGAATTTTGGAGTCACTTTGTCAAGGTTTGTGAAATTGTTTCAGTTTTTAAGTAGATTGTATAGTACACATAGAGGCTTCTCAGTCACAAACATGATATCTAGATTTATTTATTTATTTATTTTTGGTCTTTTTGAGACAGGGTCTCCCTGTAGCCCCAGCTGGCTTGAAACTCACTATGTAGACCAGGCTGGTCTTGAACTCACAGAGATCCAGCCACCTCTGCCTCCCGAGTGCTGGGATTAAAGGCATGTGTACTACACCTGGCTTGGTATCTTGATCTTTTAAATGTTTTTTTTTTTTAAAAAATAGATCTATATGATTTTATTTATGTATAATATTTTATATTAGTTTTGATCCAAGTTATCATAAAGACTTGTTGCTCTTGTGAGTGAGGCCATTCAGAAATGATCTCTGAAGGGCTGGGGCCTTTACACATATTGATCTTACATTAACAGTGTTGCTGAACTCTTTGCATTTAATGTTTTACTTTATTGAATTTGTTTAGATTTCTGAAGCTGGCACTATATTTTCCAAAAATAAGATTCTTTTTGTTTTTCTGACCTTTATATCATCTAATTTCTTTTTCTTGTCTTATGTTGGTAGGGGGCTTGAGTACAATGCTGTATGTATATGATAAAAGCTATCTTTGTTACTAAACTTAACAGGAAAATTTCCAAGGAATTAACAAGATTGATGCTTCTAGACTAGCTTAATGGTAGCAACTTTTTATTCTGCTCAGGAAACTTTTCCCTATTCCTTTTTGACAAGATTTTAAAACAATGAATGGTGAATTATTATTTTAAATATTTATTTATTATTACTTATTATTTATTTATGTTTTATATAGAGTGTTTTGCCTGCAGGTATGTAAGTGCACCCTTATCATGCAGTGCCTGTGGAGGCTAGAAAAGGGTATCGTTAGATCCCTTGAACTGGAGTTACCAATGGTTGTTAGCTGCCATGTGGGTGCTGGGAACCAAACTTACGTCCTCTGCAAGAACAGCCAGTGTTGTTAACCACTGAACCATTTCCATTTCTCCAGCTCTTTATAAAAGTGAATTATAATTTTCTAAGATTAAACCATTCTTATAACCTGGGGATGTAGTTCAGTAGTAAAGTGCTAAAATTCTACTAAAAACAGTATGCCCAAAACCCTGCATTTGACATCCCATACTACAAGAACAAACAAATAAACAAATAAATAAACTGGGTTCACATTTGTGACATCAACCTTATGCATTTAGGTTAAAACATATTTTTGAACTTGGTTTGCTAACATTGATTACAGATTTTTCAATTTTATTCTTTATGTGATTAGCCTATTATTTTCTTATGTCCTTGTCTAATTTTAGTGTAAAGATTAGTTTATAAAATTATTGAGATGCCCACCTCATTTTTTCCTATTCTTTGAAGTACTTTTTCTTTTTCTGAGATAAGATCTCACTATGGAGCCTGGGCTGGCCTTGAACTCCTGGTCTTCCTGTCTTAGCTTCCCCAGTGCTGGGACGGTAGACATATGCCATGACATCCAGCTCTTTGAAAACTTTTGAGGTTATCTGTATGTGAATTATATTTACCCAAACATTGATCTTTTGTGTGGATAAAATTAGAAACAAGAATTCAAATTATTTAATAGTTTATTAAATGTATATTTGTGTTTTTAATCTATTGAATCAAGATTTTTAATGGTCACACTATTTTTGCTTCAAAAATTCTACTAGAACTGTACATAGACGCTCCATATTCAGTCATTTCTTTTTTTTCTTTTTTTCCACTGTCAGTTTTACCAGAAATGTTTCCATTCTATCGTTTTTTGCAGTAGTATTTTGCTTTGTCAGCCCTTTCTACCATTTCTTTGTAGATGGATCTGTTTTTAGCTCTAAAATCATACGTGTAAACATGCATATATTTTTCCTTTTTCTTTTTCTTTTCCTTCCCTTGCCTGTAGATCTATAAGCCCTTTTAGCTGGGCAGGGAAAAGTAGAGAGAAAGGAGTTATTAGCCCTTGGTTGGCTTCCAACATTACCTGAATTACTCATGCAGAGATATGTGATTGAACAACAACAACAACAATGAAAAAGGCAAGTGGTCAGTCACTGGTTTCAGATTTTCATATCATTGCAGCCACAAACCAGGCTTCTGCATACAAGTGCCAACTTCCAGTCCTCGCTCCTGGAGTCCCCTGATGCCATTTCTTCTCTAAAGAGAATTATTTTTCACTGACTTGGACTGCCTCACCCTTCTCTGCCTCTGGCTTTTGAAAACAGAACGTGTTCCTGGGGATAATGATACTTTTTGTCCAGGGGAAAGACACTAGAGAGGCACAGATACTTCATTTGAAGAAGGAAGAGTTCTGTGTCCAGGGGCATCTGAAACCCTTCATCAAGCAGGCAGAATACTGTTTCCCCAGAATATATTCTTTGCATCAGTGTCTACATTAGTAGACAAGATGGAAAGTTTCCAACAGATCTTTGAGCTGATAGTTTTGATTGCTCTCTAGTAGAAAATTTTTCTTTCTTTCTTTCTTTCTTTCTTTCTTTCTTTCTTTCTTCCTTCCTTCCTTCCTTCCTTTCTTTTTTTTGATAGGGAAGGGAACTTAGGGAAGAAGAGAGAGCTGGTTGGATTGGCAAACCCCTCTGACCAAGTAACAGGGTCAAAGGCAATGAGAGCTGATATTTCAATCCCAAATGAATGCGCCACAAATTATAATTCTTGGATCAGTAGATAACACCGATTATTTGACAGTGGGTATGTGTCCTTTAAGATGTTTTGTATGAGTGTCTGTGTGTATGATGTGCAGGCAGGTACTCATGTGTAGAAGGCAGGAGGATGCTCTACCTTGGTCCCTTGAGTCGGGGTCTCTCACGGAACCTGGAAGTAGGCTTGCCACCAGCAAGCAGCACTATTCCTGTCTATCACACCCTTATCCTATACACATCAAAAGTTTCAATTTGCTGAGAATATTTTTCCTCATGCTTGAAAGCACCAGGTGTTTGGGGTTTGGGGCTCTGCTGAAGAAGCAGATTCAGAGAAAGTCTTCTTGAGAGTGCAGAAGACAGTTTAGGACAGAAGGCATTAGGGTTACCACCCAAAAAATGATAGGAAGGCTGAAGACATTAAAGGAAGTGTGTCTAGGCATCCTCTTCGTTCACATCTAACTAACATCATGGGTGTTAGATTCTTAGGAAACCCATTCAAATGTATTCTCACTTTGTTAAAGACAACTTGGAGTCTGGCTCATGCTTACAATGTCACCACTAGGGTGATTGAAGCACAGGATTTCTGTGAGTTTGAGGCCAGTCAGCCTGGGCTATATAGTGATTTCCAGCTCAGCCTAGACTACATAATAACTTTCAGGCCAGCCTGGGCTGCAATGTGAGATCCTAGGTCCAAAAGCCACACAAAATCAAAACCAAACAAATAACTTAGAACCCTATAAAAAATACCACACTAATGTCATCCCATTTTGCAGATGAGAAAACCAGTTCATTTGGAACATAATTTGCAAATAGTTTTGATAGTTTAGTCTGGATTATGAAATGGATTATGTATTGTATCTAATTTTCTCCCCCTTTATGGCAGACCCACCATAACTCTAGTTGTAAAGTTATTGACCTAAGAGCTGGCTGCAGGGCAGTCTCTTTCAGACAGGCCTTTGCTTGTCAGGAAGACAGGTCTGTCCAGGTAGAACTATTGTTTTCTATTTCATTTTAGGCCCTGGGAACTGAACCTGGGTCCTCTGCTAGAGCAGCCAGTGCTCTTAACCACTTAGCCATCTCTCCAGCCTCCTTGAACAATAATTTTAAAAAGTAAGCAGCTTTGGGTAGTAAGTGACCACAGCAGGAAATGGTTATGGTCCTTTCAAAGCACAACCCACTGAAGACTTGAAGTTTCCATGGCCAGCACATTTCTGCTCACTGATGTTTTCAGTGACCTCCTTCCACAAAGGCCAGGGTTGGCACTCCACACCCTCTCCGTCCTGCACCCCCTCTTAGATGTGGTCCTGTCAGTCAGTCCCAATTTAATGTGGTCAGGTCACACTAGGTGCCACTCAGGCTAGAAATGGTTAAGCTTTTACTCCCAAACATCTGCTTTTGATGTGCAGTGGACTTAGCTGTGGAGAGGGGCAGAGAATTCCGATCCCTCCAGAAACCTTGGGGAGCCAGGAGTGGGGAAGGTGGGTGGGCTGGCACGGCTGGGGACTCTATTTTCTGCTTTCCTAACTCGGGGTGATGGTACAATGGCTCCCGGGATGACACACCATAAGAGAAATATCCCCAAGCCTCAGCTCTGCCCTGCTCCCGCCCACACCTCCAGGTGTGTTTTCCCCGCCCTTAATTGCTCCACAAAAATGGTAGTTTGCCCTCGCTAAGTTACGCTAGGAAAGCGGAAGAGACATTTATAATCACGGATTTGGAGAGCTAGGGGCGCAAAGCCGCCCTCGCTTTGATCTGGAGCTCGACCAAGGAAAAGTGAGAAGTGGAGACTCAGAGACCTTTTCAGCAGGAAAGCCAACTCTCGGTCCTGGGCAGCCTTCAGTCCAGGAGCGCGCTCTTTGAATCTTCAGGCCTTTTGGAAAGTTTAGAAACCCAACTAGGACGAGGAGGCCGTCCACCAGGGTTTTATTATTAGTTTTACAGGCTCTGCGATGTTTTCCAAGAGTTTTGAAACGAGGACAGAAAAGCCACGAGACGAAAATACATGGTGCAGGGAGCCCACCGAAGCTCCCCAAACTGCGGGGCGCTGGGGTGAGCGCAGGAAGGGGCAGGGTGGGATCCCTAGTGGGCGGCCCCGGGGCTCGGTGGGTGGGTGTGTATGATGGGGGCGGGTTGGGAGAGAGCTCCGGGAAGGTACTGAATGGGAGGTTGGGGCCACCCCCACCTCTCAACCTGCAGTGGCGCGCGGGAAGTTCAGTGAATGAATGGGGGAGGGGATCGCTGAAGACCGGGGCTCTGGGAGTGCCACTCAGGTAAGGGGACCCGCTAGGGAGGTGGAGGGAAGCGTTGGGGGTGGGGGTGGGGAGTTGCTGACTCGTGCAACGTGGATGGAGCAGGAAAAAGGCGGAGGAAGAAAGGGGGCTGTGGGTGTCCGCGCTGCTTTCCCGCCCCCGGCCCGCGCCCCTTCCCCCGCCCGCTTGCAGAGCCCGGGAATAGGTGGCGTTCCGGGAGTGGGGACCTTCCTGTCCCCCTGCGCAGCGCTGCGGTGCTTGGCCTCCCGGTCTGGCCCGCGACCCCGGCGGGGTGAGCTGTCCCTCTCCCGGCCACCGCCGAGGGGCGGGCGAGGACCGGGTTGGGCTGGCCCGGGGCGGCGGGGACTTGGCGGCGCCGCCTGCAGCCAGCGCGGGGACTGAGAGCGGGACGCAGCGCAGGTAAAGCCGCGCGCGCTGGGGACGGTGGCCCTGGGCGCCGGGGGCGACGTGTGGACTGAGGTCTGCGCCACCCGCTCGCACTAGCCCACGACCCGCGGCTTTCTGGCCGCGCGCGCTCGGGATTCTGTGCGCGCGCTCGCGGCTGGGTGGGTGGGTGGGTGGGTGTGCGCGGGGGAGAGGCGGCCTGCAGGAGGCGAGGCTGTCCTGCCTCTCCTCACCGCGCAGTGGTCGCCGGCCCTCTGAGGGAAGCTGTCGCCGCGGCCCGGGCCACCCGCCCTCCTCCGATCCGCCAGGTCAGTGTGCCCCGGAGTCCGTCCAAGTGACACGTTGGTGGCCTCGGGTTACCTGGGTCGGGTAGGGGCGCGGGGCGAGGGTGGCGAGGGGCTCTCCGAGTTCCCTAGGTACTGCGTCCCCGCAGGTGTCTCCGCGCCCGGCAGCACCCCACTCCTGGCTCACGGGTGACTTTGTCTAAGGACTTGAAACTTAAGTTTCTGTGAAGTCGCCTAACAACGCTGTGCCTGGGAAGTGCAAGGCGACGGGGGACCTGGCTTCGCGTGGAAGGGCTGGAAATCCTTGGGTTCTGTCTGCACCCCTAGGGAGTTTGCTGTGAATGGATTTAAACTTTAGGCATGTTTTCTTTGCTGCCATTTGGTCCTGGATGTGCTGAGTGTCGGGGCATCCAGGACTTGTTGCTTCCAGGCCGGGGCCTGACTGAGACTGTGGCTTTTTGTTCTGTCCTCTTTTTCCTTTTCTTCTTGGTTGAAATCTATGGGATTTTCATCCATGTGCTTTTCCAGCGAGTGCTGGCTTGTGAAAGTTTTATTACGAATCTCTTCCCATTGGAATAGGTGACTGTTGATAACTGTAACTATGGGGAAGGTAGCTAGTTATTTAAAGCAAAATCTTCCATTCCTTCAGGCTCCAAGTGTGTGTTTTCGTCCATTTGCTGTGTCCTTTGCTCACCCAATACAACTGTGAAAACAGAGGTCGTGCTTCACTCTCGGTAGTTCTGGTGAAAGGGAGACTCTGCACATGGAAAACTAGTTATGCTCTTGTCAGAATAAATACCAGGGAAAAAGGGGTCCATGTTGGACTTCGGACTGTGTGCATCAAAGAGAGTTGCATGAACACACAGCTGAAATATCTGGTTTCTGTCCTTGTTCTCCAAATGCAACATTATGAATAATAATCATTTGTGTCCTAAGTATATTAAGGCTGTATTTTATTTATTTATTAACTTTTGTCTTAACTGTAATTTGAGGTTAAAGAGACCCAAGTAGCAAGAGAAGCAAGCAGCGGGAGGTAGAGAGGCTGGAAAGTCCGCTGGAGAGAGGAGTCTCACAATCCCAGCCCCCTTGGACACACAGCGTCCCCTAGTGGTGCAACCTTAGTCTGTTAGGTGGGCGTCTGATCTTGGTGCCCTCATCATCAATACCAATGGGTATTCACCAATGGGAAAACCAGTGGGATCTTTGCCATGCCGTCCAACTGCCCAGTACGTAGAAGCTGGTGGCGGGTGGTTTCTCCATGACAGAAGAGTGGAATGGAGGAAGGGAAATAGGAAAGAGTCGGGCAGGAAAATGGGAACTCAACAGAAAGAAGGTGGAAAAGTGACTTAAACTGGGAATGGATTCCTTCTAGTTTTTTCTTTCTCCCGTAAGGGAATTGGTAACCCTTTCTACTTCTTGATATTATCCCTTCATTATTACAAACCTATGAGGTTGCTTAGCCTTAAAAATGACAAGAGGTCAAGGTGATCTTTATAGTCTGACTTCTACCAGGCATCACCTGAACACCTTGCCCCTCTATCCTCCTGGTCAGAGGAGCAGCAGCTGGGGGGGTGGGGGGTGGGAGGGTAGTGGTGGTAGGGGTGATAGGGGACAGAGAGGGATTCAGCATGACTGAGTGACAGGAAAAGAATAACAGAAGAGAGAATGTAAGTCACAGCTCTTTAGAAACTTCTGTTTTCATTTAAAACTAGTATTTTCCAGAATGCAATTTGATTTTATTTTCAGATGATATCATAGACCGTTGGATTTTCCTGACTCTGTTCTGTTTGACCTACTGAGCTGTTCAAAGAAAAATAAATCTTAGTGGCTGAGTCTTTTGAGTGAATAACAGTCAGTCTAAAATTTGTAGATCAAAAAGATTGTGGATCAAAAAGGATTATTTCAGATACTTAGTATAAAACTTTATGACCTGAACAGAATTGCACTGAGTTATTTTCACCAGGAAGCTGTAAGTAGTTAATGAATAGCTTTTAAAGAAATTTACCTTAAGGTCAAGTTTTTAATATCTGTACTTAATGTGTGGCCCTCCGTCCTTCCTTCACTCCCTCCCTCCCTCTTCCCTTTCTTTGATATCATCTGTGTGTTGTCATAAAAAACTGACACTAAAGTCTGCTTTGACCTTGCTAAGTTAGCATCTTACCTCTGTTTGCTTTCTTATTTTTTACATGGTATGTTACTTCCAAAGTCCATTATGTTATTGTTTAAATATTTCATGAGGTACCAAGAATGTATTAGAAAGTTGGGAGAAAAGGTGGAAAATTTAATTCAATAAGCGGTCACTGAATTCCAATTGTAATAGACACAAAGATGATGAAAAGCAAGTTCTACAAAGAGCTGCAATACAGGGAAAACTCACAGCTAACTGCAATTGTACTGCGGAGGCACATGTATGTCATGCTGTGTTGCTGTGCTGTGGCTGTGGAGTCTGAGAGCTTTGGCAGGCTGGAGAATGGAACATGAAATTCTGTGTGGGATACTTCACAGACAGAGCCTGAAGAATGATGTGTGTCCTGAACGTGCCCGATTTCATCTGAGCTGGGAAGCTAAACAGGGTCCGGCCTGTTTAGTATTTGGATGGGAGAATGATGTGTGTCTTAAAAGATGGATGGGGAGAGTGAAGATCTGTCAGAGGTGGTTGTAGCCAGGATCCTTGGTGATGAAGGTTGGAAAGATATGAGAAGCCTGGAGCTTATTTTAAGGAGTTGTGCTACATGACATCATTTAACCCCAAGATGCATGAAGACCCCATGATATTTTGTTTGGGGGCAGAATGAGGGAGTGAAGTGTTTGAGGGATGACTGAGTTTGTATTCTCTTATTTTCCATTTTAAGTCCTGGCTAGTAAGTTGTGGGATATTGTTACTGGTTTAGTGTTATTATATTAAGATTTAGAATAGACCTGTGTGTAGTTTCTTCTCCCTCACCCCCTCCAGATGATAGCCTCCTTTTGAGAAACTTAATTCAGTAAAAATTGATGAGGCTCTTGGGTTGCATCGGGCCTTGTGGGGTCTTCTGGGCATGTGTGATAAAGTCATGCTTGCAGACACAAAGCTGACCATGATGTTCTTTCTTTTTCTGTTCAGGGAAGGGCTTGCTTGTTAATGCTAATTTAAATTCTCTTCTCTGCAACTGACATTCTTGACCTTGTTTATATTATGCATAGTATTTAACCACAGAAGTAGAATATTTGCAGTACAGAAGAGAAAGAATTATGATTAGCATGGAAACAGGGTTAATGCCCCCTGTAAAGGATGGGGGGTGGGTACCCGAAGAATCCTTTAAGAAGCATAACCTCCAATAGAAGTGCCTCGCTTAGTCTTGTAGAGTAATATCTTAAGGGTTCTTTTCTAATCTCTCCAGGAGTTGGCTCATTCTATCTCAGGGGAAATCCCAGCGGAGTCCCTTTAGGAGAGCCACAGTAGCTCTGTAAGGCTCCTCTCCTGCCTGATGCCTTTGTGTCACTGGTAGGAATGGGTAGATTTTCAACTGTTTTTTCAAAAGCAGAGCTGATTTAGGTAAAGGCTCTGAATTACTCTTAAATCTAGAGATGTTGGGCTACTAAGAAGGCAGATAATTAAAAGAGATTATGCCAGTGTTCGGTTGCCCTCTGGATACAGTTTGAATGTATGACCCTCTTAGCCGGTGTTTTTGTTGTTGTTTATTTGTTTGTTTTTTAATCTTAAGCAAGATATGGGACTTGGATTTGGTTTGGTTAATAAATCAAATAATTATGAATTTGAAGAAGTTCAAGGTTGATGTACTTTATTTTAGGGTTTCTCAGAAGGACACTTTTTTGTGAGTGGCGGATTGTTTTTCAATTCTTTGGTATTTTATTTTAGTAAGTTAGTATGATTTCAAGGTTGTGTTATTATTATATTACCACTTGCTGCCATAGGGCATAGGGCATTATATTAATACTTGGGAGTTAGCGCCTGTCACCTGGTTAGTGCTACAGAAACTTTAACCCTAATATTCACATAAAATTTAGGTTCTTTTTTCCTTTTGAAAATGAAAGGGAACTATTTTACTGCATCCATGGATATAGGTTATAATTTATTTTCTTTTTGTGGTACTGTTTTAAAAAAAGTGAT